GAATATCATAGTCAAATTTCAGAGCTCACAGGTCAAGGAGAAAAGCAACCAGCAAGAAACAATTCAAATATTGTGGAGCCATAGTCAGGATCACACAATATTTAATGGCTTCCATGTTAAAAAAAAAAAAAAAAAAAGCAAAGAGCTTAGAAGATGATATTCCAGAAGGCAAAAGACCTTCAATTACAACCAAGAATCACCTACCCAGCAAAACTGAGTATAATCCTTTAGGGTGAAAAATTGATATTTAATGGAATAGAGGACTTTTAAACATTTCTTATGAAAAGACCAGAGCTGAATAGAAAATTTGACTTTCAAAACTCTTGAGCCAAAAACTTGACTCAAGAGAAGCATAAAAAGGTAAACATAAAATAGTAATCATGAGTCTCATAAAGTAGTAATCATGAGTCTCAATAAAATTAAACTATTTATATTTCTTTTTTTAAAAAGTCATATGGAAAAACACTCTAAATCACTAATAATTAGAGAAATGCACATTTAAACAACTCTGAGGAACCACCTCACACCTATCAGATCAGCTAACATGACAGAAAAAAACATGATTAATGCTGGAGGTGATGTGGAAAAAATAGGTATGGTAATACACTGTTAGTGGAGTTGTGAACTGGTCCAACAATTCTGGAGAACAATTTGGAACTATATCTAAAGGATATAAAACTGTAGATACCCTGTGACACAGCAATATCACTACTAGGTCTTTACCCCAAAGAGATCAAAGGAAAAGAAAAAGGATCTATTTGTTCAAAAATATTTATAGCAGTTATTTTGGTGGTAGCAAAAAATTGGAAATTGAGGAAATGACCATTAATTTGGGAATGACTGAACAAATTATAGTATATGATTGTGATGGAATACTTTGTGCTTAAAAAAAAGCAAAGAAGATGGCTTCAGAAAAACCTGGGAAGACTTATTTAGACTGATGCAAAGGGAAGTAAGCACAACCAGAAGAACATTGTACACAATAACATAAATATTGTAACCATAATCAACTTTAAAAGACTTAGCTACTCTCATCAATACAATGATCCATGACAATTCCAAAGGACTCATGATACAAAATGATATCCATCTCCAGAGATAGAATTAATGAACTCTGAGTGCAGACTGAAGTATACTTTTTTCATCTTATTCTTCTTGCTTTTTTTTTTCTTGCTACCTGGCTAAAATGAAAATATTTTGCATGATTTCAGATCTACATTGGGTATCATTTGCTTTCCTTCTCATTGTGTAGGGAAGGGACTGGAGGGAGAGGAAGAATTTGGAACTGAAAATAAAAATGAATATTAAAAAGTAAAATGAATGAATATTAAAAAGTAAAAAATAATGAAGAGAGAGACAAAGAGAGAGAGAGAAGGGAAGTGCCAAAACAGGGGCTGTTAGCAAGAGAGAGATGGAGAAACAGACCCCATTAGAGACAGTAACCCAGCAATACCAATATTCTGTTTGCCTCAGTCCACAATTCTTGAGAAGAAGCCTTAATGTTTTTAATTTGCAATATCAAAAGTCTTTTCTTCAGGCTAGATCTGGATTTTTACGTGTTTTAGATTAATCTTTACATAATTTGAAAACTCTATTTTTCATCATTCCCTTCTGAATGGAAAGTTTCCCCTGTACCCAGACTAATAAGAATTTCCCTAAGGGTATGTCCATTGGCTTACTAGAGCTGGCTCCTATGGCACCCTCATCAGGGACTAATCACCTTATCCAGAAGTGGTTCAAACTGTGTGGGTTGGAGGGGAGAGTGGAGGTCCTAGGACAAGCATTCCTTCATCGAGAAAGTCCTTTGGTAGAAAATCTTACCATAGGGCTCTTAGGGGCTTTCTGTGGTGAAGGTTTCTATTGTCCCACAACTGTTCGTATTGTCCCCACCTGACTGTTACTCACCAATGCTATTACAATGAAATAAAGAAACTGAGTATCATCCAGACAAATGATTTATTTGGCAAGACGTGTGGCTGCAGAAACAAACTGGGTCCCAGGCTCTCAAAAGCATAAGAGACAAGACTATCGGTTTCTACACAGTCAATATACAACTTGGAGGGAGTGAAAAAAAGGATGTAGGGATAAGCCACCTGGTTTCTTATTGGTGGAGGGGATCTGGAGACCCTGAGGTGAGAGGGAGAGAGGTAGTTTTTGTGACATTCCTGAAGTGTGGTGACAGTTGGGAAGAAGAATAATCTTGTGACTTAAAATCAGGTGAGTTTGAGACAACTTCACAAAAAACAAAATGAAGTTACTCGTGCTATTTTTTTTTTAATGTAACAACCCTGGATTCTTGGCACTAACCCCTAACCAGCTTAGCAAATGGTCCAGACTAAAAAAATAGTAATGATAACAATTCATAACAGGAAATCAAGTGACCCAGACAGGGACTGAAACAGCATTCTACCTGGATGTGAACAAGCAATCTTATGAGGTAAACACAAAATCCCTTAGGCCTTTGAAGTCCAGAAGGTCTAATGTAACTCCACAAGCTACAAAAGCCATTAGAGAGAGCCTTAGATATTGGGGAGAATCTGGTCTTTATTCAGAAAAATAGGTGAATATATTTATATATGTTATTTATAGGTATAAATTCATATTTATATATTTATATAAATATATTCTATATTTTATTTATGTAAATATATTTATATAAATATATTTCTATAAATTTTATTTATTTTTATTTATATAATTATATTTATTTTATATAAATATATTTATTTATATTTATATTTATTATATATAAATATAATATTTATTTGCATTTATTATTATATATTGTATTTATATAAATATTTATATGATATATATTATAGGTTGATATGATTTTATATATATATATATATACCATAATTTCCTACAAGCTAGGATGATAGAGCTAAGTTTTTTTTGTTTTTGTTTTTGTTTTTTGGTTAGGCAATAGGGTTGAGTGACTTGCCCAGGGTCACGATAGAGCTAAGTTTTGAGCTCCATCTACCTATGACTTTATAGCAGCTCTCAAATTGAACCAAAACAACTCCTGCTGAGCTTCATCCCTGGGCCACTCCAGGTAGGTCTTGGTGTTCATGATCTTCCGAAGCTTGCAGAACCTCTGGGGAATGGCCCTCTTCTCAATGGGCTCCAAGAGGATGAGAATAGCTGCATCATTGTTCTCATCAAAGAGGCGAAAGTGGGAGAAATCCAGCTCATACTTACACCACTCACTCTTGACAAAGCTTTCTGAAAGCACAAAGAGTGTTTTGTGACTCTTGTCGATGGAGTCAATGATGTTGTCGATGATCCACTTGCCAGGCACAAAGTCCCGCTTGTGGAGACACAGTCGGAAAGGGGGGTCAAAGTTCTCCAGTTCCTGGACCATGAAGTTCTCAACCCAGTAAGAGTCTCCTTCACTGTAGGAAACAAAGGCATCATAGCAGATCTCTCGGTCTATGTTCTTTCTGGGCTTTCTCTTGGCCTGAAGCCAGGCCCACATCATTTTCATGTACCAGATGCCATGAAATCGGTAGCATAGCACCCCAGTCAGCAAGGCAAGCAGGAAGAGGAAAGAGCAGATTGCAGCCACCAGCTGCCCTCGGTAGCACTCAGAGAAGGAAAGCTGAATTTCCTGAACTCGTTTGCCCCTCACCTGGAATGGAGAATCACAGAGGTAGTTTTCTGGCCAATCTGTCAGGATGTTAGCCAGCAGGGCCTTTTCATTGTGGACAAAAGATAGAAATTCACAAGAACAAATGAAGTTGTTGCCTCCAGCTGCCAAACTTCCCATTGTCTGAAAGGACTCAAGTTGTGCCTTAGAGAAAGAATGCACTGTGTTTTCACTGATGTTCATTGCCACCAAGTTGGGGAAATTAGCAGCATCTGGTAGGGTCTTTAGTTTGTTTCTGGAAAGATAAAGCTCTTTAAGGTGTGGTAGATGCAGGCGAAAATCACTGAGTTGGTTATTACTGATGTCTAAGATTTCCAGGGTCTGGGGAATACATGGAGTTACTGTATTGGTTTTTGTGCTGGAGATGTTCAAATATTTCAACTTCCTTGGCCACTGACAGCTGTCAGGCATGGAGTCAAAGCTATTCTTGCTAATGTCGAGGTGAGTCAGGGTTTTCACAGTCAGCAAGAGTTCCCCCACTTTTTTCAGAGATTCGAATTTATTTTGACTGAAATTTAAGGTGTGCAGGCTGGGCCAGGCCCCCTCACAAGCTGAATCTTCTAGACTATTTTCACTCATCAAACTGTCACTAAGATCAAAATACTCTAAGGATCTCAAATTTCTTGAGAGTTTACAGGGGACAAGGAAAACCTTGCTACTTGTAAGAGTGATTTTCTTGATTCCTCCTAATAACGAATACACAGAGCTCAGGTCATAAAATGAGAAAAAATCTCTAATCCGTAACCTGTGAATGGTGATTGCTTCCACTTTCCCTTGATTTTTAATTTCACTTAAGGACGCATCTTCCCAGGCCCCAATTCCATTAAGTTCACAATCCTCAAGCACAATCTCCAACAATTCAGAAGCAAAGGAGTACATTTTAAGAATTTCAACAAAACTTTTATCTGTGAATTGCACCTTTCTAAATATAATCTTCTTAATAAGTGGGCTGGGAGCATCAGAAGGCAGTGAAAAATCAAAATTTGCCAGATCAGTATTTCTCAGTTCCAAACACTGCAAAGAACTTGCAAGGTCAACCACAATGTCAGGCAGTAAAATTGGCTCCTTGATGCTGAGAGCCAGGTAGCTTATGTTGTGAATAGACTTCAGACTTCCTGGCTCATATTTCTGCAGATAATCTACCTGAATCTCAAAGTCCTCCAGCATACTCAGCCCTTCAAAGTCTTGTTTCTGAAGCTCTAAGATGTTAGTGTTCCCCACTTTAAGAACCCTCAAATTGGGGAGATGCAAAAAAAGAGGGCTTTGCCCAAGTCGAGGGTAGAGATTGCCCTGCAAGTGTAGAACCTGCAAGGAAGAGAGGGAATTAAACCAGGAGGATAACAAGTGAGACAAGTTATTGTTGGACAAGTCCAGACGTTTCAAATTTTTTAAGGACTGAAAAGAATTTGGTTCTATTACACTAATTTGGTTAGATTGCAACAACAGAACTTCCAGGTTGACACAGGTCTGAAGGTCTGTTTCTCTGATATGTGAGATCTTGTTGAAAGACAGGTCCAACTGTTTCACAGCCTCTGTCAGGCCTGAAGGAACGGTGCTCAAAGACCTGGAATGGCCATCACAGGCACCAACAGGATCACATGACATAGAAGTCTGCTTAGGAGCACCTTCTGAGAGACCAATTACGGTCCACAAGACCCACACTGTCCACATGGCATGTCTCATTGTCCAGGGGCTCAACCTTAAAAAAAAAAAAGATCAGGATGAGTGATCAGGATGGGTATATATTTACCCAAATATAGCATTTATCAGGGCTAATAATCCTAGAACAACATCTCATAAACATTGTAATGGTCCTAAGCTTGTTCTGCCTCTCTGATACTTCCCTTCAGGATAGTTGTGAGGCTCAAGTGACATGTTTGCTTTTTTTTTTTTTAACTTTTTTTTAAATTTTTATTTTGTTAATTTGTTTATTTTTAGTTTTCAACACTCAGTTCCACAAGATTTTAAGTTACAAATTTTCTCCTCATCTCGTCCTGCCCCCTCACCCCAAGATGGCATGCATTCTGAATACCACTTCCCCTAATTTGTCCTCCCTTCTATCATTCCCCCCTTCTCTTATACCCTTCCCCTTCTATTTCCTGTAGGGTGGGATAGATTTCTATACCCCATTGCCTATATACCTTATTTCCCAGGTGCATGTGAAAACAATTTTTAACATTTGTTTTTAAAACTTTGGG